TTAATTCCACGTTTCTTTTCAACATGTCTTACAAGTGATAGTATGTTCGATACTAATTTATGCACTTGTTCGTTTTAGGGATGGAGACCATCGGAGTGAAAAATAGAGTCTTGGGAAGCGTAATAGTATCCTGCACATTCGCTGTAGGTGAGGTTTTACTGGGATTGATCGCAAGTTTGTTAAGATCTTGGCGAATGCTTCTTAGAATAGTATATGGGCCGGCACTGCTAGCCGTTTTCCTACCTCTGGTCATTCCAGAATCAGTTAGGTAATCTTTTGTAATCTTAATGAACATTTGCGAATCGATGAGATATCATTTTCATTCTCTTATCTGTAAAATGTATGCACAATACGTAATATCGTTTTCAAGATGGTTAATGTTAAAGAAAAAACATGAAAAAGTGGATAAAATATATTATAAATTGGCCCGAATGAACGGCTTGCAAGTAACGGACGAGGCCATCAATACATTCAAAGAGCAAAATGCAGCTAAGGCTAAAACGGTATGTCATCTATCTTCTTTTTCTTTCACAAATGTACATTTAATTATGGCAATAAAAATATCTTATTTGCAAATTTAACTACTATTATCTAAAATACAACTATAGTTCGTAACTTTCAATACAGCAACTTTTGTATTATTCTATAAACGTTAGTATAAAGTAGTAAGTTGCACATGATCTTTATAATTATGAGATTGATATATACGGATCTTTCAGAAAAGCGAACTGATGATATTGGACGAGAGAAAACCGATTGTGCAAGTTCTACATAGCTCAGTGATACTTATTCGACTGCTGGTCTGCTCATTCTGTTGGATTACAAATACGTTCGTTTATTACGGACTGTCGTTAAATTCAGTGGCGGTCGGCGGCGATAAGTACTTGAATTTCATGCTCGTTGCGGTAGTCGAGATACCAGCGTTTTGGATCGGCTGCGTGCTGAACAATCGCATTGGCCGTAAATCAACGCTTTCTGGTGCATTCATGCTGAGCGGAGTATTCTGTTTCGCAAGTCAGTTCGTACCGGCAGGTAAAGAGATAAAGAAAAGAGGTTTCTCAGACAGAGCTGGTTGAAGTTTGGTACGTTCTTGGAGTGACTTTTCAGAAATGATTTGACCCATTTCTCCTTTCGCAGTTACTTCTATAAAATGCCAGTCAATAAATAAAAAATATATCCTGATCGAATACACGTCGGTATCTTTATGTTCGAAAAACTGTCCTTACGCTATTTAAAATATTCTTCAAAATCGATTTGGTCCATTTCTACTATTACGTCCATACCAATTAGTCACAACCATGTTGTTCACGTAATTATGTCAATTATAATGGGTTGCCACGGCGCGCGATTCTGGTGATTTATTGCTGCTCTGTCTCAGGAACCGGGGGTCACGGAACTTTATTTTTATACATGGTTGGGAAGTTGTGTATCGCCATGGCATTCTCTACCACCTACATCTTCACGGCAGAGCTTTTCCCGACGACGCTCAGAAATTCCCTGCTCGGATTTTGTAGCATGATTGGTCGCATTGGGTCAATCTTAGCGCCGCAGACGCCTCTTTTGGTGAGTCAATATAAACAAACGTTGCAATAAACATATACTTTCTTAACACATGCTTCCCGAATTACGCTTTGATAACGCCGCGCCGCGCCGTCACGAATATCTTTCAGATTTGCGAATCTATTCTTCTGTAATTTCGGATTTAACAGGATTTTCAAAAAACTTTTGTTCTTATATATATAGATAATATTATATTTAAAAATATCATTGATACATATACATTCTCGTGTTTATATTCTCTCTAAACCTGATAAATATGCATATCAATCCCTTGCTTTAAAAGTAACAAAAAATGTGGTTTCGAGTTATTACCACACACATGAATAAGTTAGATAGAGATTACTCTATCACTCATCAAAACTAATTAAACTTCATAGTTTCGTTCGCTAAATAGCACTTATATCGACTCTCACAATCTTCAAAAAGATCATAACTTTTACAAGAGCATTTTGAGTTGTCATTTTGTAAATGAAAAGAAGAATCTTCTAGAGAGAACATTTAGAATTGACAGTTTTAACGATCAAAGTTTAAAGAAGAAATTGTTTTCTTTTAAATTTAATCATTTCAGCTCAAGGTAAATACAGACAAACTGTTAGTGATATTTCAAGTTATGTCACTTTTGATGAATTTTATTCTGGATTTGTTATAATTTTGTAGGATATCAAAATTGTGACAACTCAAAAATGATTTTGTAAGAATTGTGAAACCAAAATTATATTTGATTATATTTCTAAGAGTACATTTTTCTTGCTGATATTACCGATTTGATCAGTTAATAATTTTCAGGGTTGTTAACATTACCGTTTTTAAGTAACGTGTTACAGTTACCGTTACTTGCGGTAAAAAATAATACGTCACTCGTCACTCGTTACCGATTGTAAAAGGAACGCGTTATCGTTACTTAACAGTAACGAAAAAAACCGTTACTTTTTTCGTTACTTTTAAAAAAATGATTGTACTTATATAAATATAGTTACATAAGAATAAATTGTTTTTTAATTTATAGCTTTGTTTTATTTTTTTATTTTACGAGTTCTTTATTTGGTTTTGATACTTTTGATACATATCAATTTACATTAGAAATAGCAAAATGTTTTTTAACTTTAAATTATGATTTATTTCTCTAAATCTTGAATTTTTCTTCAATAACAATTGTTCAAAATATCCGTCTGTTAGGCGGTGTCGAAGATTCGACAAAACGCGAGTCCACCAATATTAAAAAGTTTTTCTTTTAAATTATATTCAATCTGGATGCATCTTTGATGCCATGTGAACAAAGCACACAAAACTTGGAATAGCGCTGATTGGTTGCCTCAATGACGTATTTTCTATTTCGCAGTCCTTTTCTGCACAATGTGTGATTTCACCCTAACTCTATATCAACTCTACATCAACGAATAACGAGAAAAGTAACATAACATTTCGTTATTCGTTACTGAAAATTATAACTTAGTTACCGTTACTGTTACTCGCTACACTGAAAAAAATATAGTCAATTTTAATAAATATTTAGTTCAATACTGCCAACTAAACATTTACTTACAGTAAATAAATATTTGTTCAGTAAAAAAAAAGGTTGTTAAATCAAATTAATGTTTCTTGTATCAAATAAATATAGCTTTATATTTAAGAAATATTTAGTTGGCAGAGTATTAAACTAAGTATTTGCTAAAATTGACTATATTTTTTTTCAGTGTAGGAAAAATAACTACGTTACTCATTCGTTACTAAAAAAAAAAACGAATTTTTTTAACGAAACCAGTAACTTCGTTACTTTTTTATGTAACGTTAACAACCCTGATAATTTTCTATTATTAAAATAATAATTTTTCCTTCTAAAAAGTTTAATTTTTTGAGTTGTGTCACTTTTGAAATAAGGGAACAATATGATTTTTATAAATGACATTAGTAGTATTTTATAATATTTTACTTCGAGCACGCGAAGAATATTTGAAATAGCATGTATGCAATCTTTTTTACATGAACTTCTCAATCACCGTTGAGAAATTCATCGTACAAACTACATTGTCTAAAACAATTCATTAATGATGTTTTCTTATTTATACATTCAGACGCAAATAACGCCTTCGTTGCCGTTTATTCTGTTTGGATCTATGAGTATGATCGCAGGCGTTTTGTCTCTGATTTTCCCGGAAACTTTAGGAACGAAACTTCCGGACACCGTATGGGAGGCAGAAAAAATCGGCAAAGGAACTCGCAAAATTTCGAATTAATAATAAGAATGTGTTAATTTATGCAAATGCCTAGCATCTCCCCATCTATTTTTTCAGCATCCTTCTGGATTTAATAGATGCTAGTTACCTCTTCACAAGATGCTAGCATGCGGATGAATTCATCTTAGACTTTGAGACTCGCGTGATAGAAAATGTTTAATAATATTATTATTATAAATATTAACTCCTTTTACAATGTATTCATTACTACTCATTAGATTCAGATAATGATTAAGAAATTAATATCTTTAAAGTTAAGGCTAATTATCTAAAGAAATCTCGAAGTAATAACATTTATGAATTTAATTATAGATAGTATAGAAATTTTAAAATGCTTTTTATCATTTTTTAGGACAGTAATGTATTTTGCAAATAAGCAATAGTTTACATTTATTTATATTGTTTTAATATATGACAAGATAAATGGCGAAATGCCAGGCTATGATACGTTAGATCTCTCTCTCTCTCTCTCTCTCTCTCTCTCTCTCTCTCTCTCTCTCTCTCCGTTTCTCTCCCTCTCTCACTCTCTCATCCTGTATGATTCATTTGTACGATGTAAATCAGTCGTTGATTTATTGTGATAATTATTATAAATCATTTTGACGAAATGTATATTTTAGTCGTTTTTAACTTTACTGCAGTTTAGTATACGCATGTATTATAGACACGGAAACAATGGCGTACCTGACAATAAAGTATTATACAATTCAGAGCAGAAATTCCTTTACATACAAATAAAATTTTCGTTTCTTTTGTACTAAACAAAAAACGAGAGTATTATTATACATTATTTATTTTCGAGACATTAGATACATCATTGTATCAAAGTATTAAATATCAATAAAAATTTTACAGATTTTAAAAAAAAAACGTAATTGATATCGCATGATGTTTAGCGTGAAAAATAATGTATTGTATCTCGTTATATAGAACTCATATAAAACGTTAATAGAAAAAAATGAATACTATACTGAATAAATTATTAAATAAATGATATATTTGCGCATGAATGTCAAAGATGCAAACATATAGATTATTTTTTATATGTAGCAATTTTATATGTTGCTTAAGTAACTAGATTATATGGCACTTTTTGTGTAGTAAAATGAGAAGCACATATACGATCGAAATCTAAGCGTCGTAAATAGCATAAAGCTTTTATATATTATTACGTAATCGATAACGAAATATAATTTTCCAATTTTTTCTCGTTATAAAATCTCGATATAAAATCGTGCAATCCGGACTGTGTAATACCGGTAATATATACGAGAAATTAGTATAAAAATTATTGCATTCGATAAAATGGACGACGCACACCCAGGTAGTTTTAACCAGATGCCATGAGAATGATAGAAGTTGCAATCCCTGGTTGTAACCAGCACGTATATGTATCAATATTTGTAAAAAATATATTTGGAAGTCGCTGGCATCACTCGTTCAAAATTTCTTGCTATGTCGACTCACTTCCGATCGAATTAGCTTAATGTCTTCTGCGAAGATCTTGCAGCAACCGCCGATGTAACGAACTCCTATGTCCAACCATTCTGATATGGGCAGATTCAGAGAATGATTATCTTGGACTGCGATCCATTCGCCACTTGCGGAATAGCTGCCACCTCTGTTGGGATATACTACCAGGGGAATGAAATCCTGTTCCGATGACGTGCTTTCATTGATACCCTTCAGTAAGGGAGTCACGTACTTCGGATCGATGCAATTTACACCAACTGCAACGATTTGTGATGGCGAAGTGCGATAACAGCGCACAGCTGTACTTTGGAATACGCTGCCGTCCGATATGAATTGACCATCTCGGCATGAAAACGAGAGCCAGGCACGAGCGTGTGGGTATTCTTTCAGCAGCTCCAGAATGGCTTCTGCTTCCTCGACGCAGGGTATAGTTTCGAAAGCTAGAAGATCAGCACCAGCGTTCAATAGTGCCTTAATGCGCGGCCTGTGCCAATCAATTAGTTCTTGTCGGGATATATTCTTTCCATAGGAACCGGTATATTCAGACCCATTGTGTAGGTAAGCGCCATAAGGACCGCATGATCCAGCAACCATAGGTCTCGAATCCAAGGGAATGCTCTCTTCTCGGATGTAGTCATCCACAGCTTTCCTAGCTAAGTTTACGGATGTATTGAGCAAGTCCAAACTTTCATGTTCACTTATATTCAGATACTTCATCATGCCAGGTACGGATGCTTGATAGGTGTTAGTCTCAATAATGTCAGCACCGGCGCGTAGAAAATCCAGGTGTGTGACATATATGGCATCGACATTGGTTTTAAGGAACCGCGCCGTCCACAGCGGATCACCGTCGATTTTTGCACTCACATGTCGTGACAACTGCCCGGAGAAGCCGCCGTCCAGGATCTTAGGAGCATTTTGACAGCGTTCCATCATCATGATCGTTAATATGAATTGTCGCAGATCGAAATATATCAACGTATATCAACGTGTCTTAATATCACGTGTCAAAATCACTTGGATTGGATTTGCACGCGATTTTAAAAAGAGAATTCTTCCACCTCCGCGGAGGATATATTTCGTTTTGAAATTCTCTCCTATTAATTTCAACTGATTGAAGCGTGGCTCATTATCAAGTTCACTGGTATTTCTTAGTACTAACCTTAATTAGAGCGAATTGTTTTTGTTACTTTTTGTCGCAGAATATTACGACTTGCCCATAAGGAATAGCAAATTGTTAAAAAAGATCTTTTACCTGATGCGAATAGACAGTGCGAAAGTACTTGGATTATTTCAAATCGAATCAAATGTTAATTCTCCTGATTCTTCGTTGCGACCATCTTAGGTCACACATGGAAAACAACACGTATTTACTACCATGAATCTCGGAACGAAATATTTCCACGACTTCCACGAGAGGAACTGAGATTAGCGGTAAGTAATATAACCTATACAGGTACATTTCATGTCGACATCTTTGATCTCCGCGTGAAGATTCACGTGACTGGAAAATACTGTAAATATTATACCTTATAAGTAAAATTTACTGATAAATTAATTGCATATTTTACAACAGCAGGCAGGAAACTTCCATAATGATATATACTCTGTAAACCAAGTTTAATAAAAAAAAATTGTACATGTGTGTGTGTTACAGCAAAAGTTCACATTAAATTATATGTTGTACAATTACCAGTAAAACGCATATTTTTTTTTGTTAATCAGATTGGCAATAGCCAGGAGTAAAATATACTTTTCTATTTTATATTTACGAAATTAATATTTTTCTTAACTAAATATACCGATATTTTCTTTATCGGGTATATAATATTAAATGCAAATTTTTTTCACATTTATTGAATTTGTTAAATAAAATTTGGCAATTTTATTAAAATATTGCCAAAAAAGAAAAAATGTAATATATTTAACTTACAAAAATTATACAGAATTAATTTATTAATAGTTATTAAGTCTATATAAATTTTCATTTTTTATTAAGACAAAATTTTTGCAAGATAAACTTTATAATATTCCAAGGTGATTTTCTACGACGGCATGTGGCTGTCCCATTTGTTCTCTGAATTCAGAAGTATTGAAGACATCTTCAAATCTATAAATAATGATATATAAACGGATAAAAATTGTTGAATACAGACTGATTTGTCAATACATTAATTGTTATAAATACCCTATATTTTGATCTTTTCCAAGTAAAACATCTCGCATCACATTAGATGACGATAAAAATGGAAGTCTTCCGATGTTTTCAGTGGCTTTCAATTCCATTGCTATGCGCAGTGGTGCATGCAATCCTTGCGTATTTCTAAGCAATATCATATTCATGCGATCTTGATTTTTTTTATACTGAAACAAATGCAATCATAATTTACTACTTTAAAATTGTCCATGTTAACAGAGAGGAGAAAATACAGGAATAAATCTTACACTTCTTTCTGATGCTTCCAAGGGATGTGTATAACCAACACTTTGTCGGATTGATGACAGACTAAATAAATAAGAGCAATGTTAAAAACTATCTCTTAAAAGAAACTATTTTTAAAAATTTGTAAAATACCAAGATTTTGTAGGTACATTCCATTATTCATTGCAAGTACTGAAAATCTATAATATAAGTAACATGAACTACAGATTTTCAGTATTTACAAGTAACATAGTCTGTATTTCAATAGTGAAAGCAAATCCTCTCAAATTAAATTTTCATACCCTGACATCATAGGATTGGATAAGTCATAGTTGGTTCCACTTTTAACATCGAATTGTTCAGGCACCACAGGCTTGGGTATGATTGATGGCAAACCAAAGCTCTGAAATTATAATAATTATAATGGAGATAAAATTTTGTGTGTTCAAATCCAATTTTCTCTACTATTTTACATCAAATAATAGTAAATACAAATTAGTTTGAAAATTGCACACAATTAACTATTTTTACAAAACAAAGCATAAGCACGATTAAGTATTTTTTAACGTTATTGTATAATTATTAATTAACATTAACGATCTACGACACAAGAAAATCTATACAATAAATAGTAAAATCGACTGTCATCGTTGACATAACCTGTTCATATATAATATATTGTATAATATTGTCTTAAAATTGATACGTAAATTGTACATAATATATTGTTAAAAAAAAATAAGTCGATTACCATTTTTTACTGCCTTGCTATCACGACAGAAATCACACCAAGAAAATATGAAAACGATTAAAAAACGCGTTGACAAACCACTTCAAGAAACAAGTTAGAATCTTGTAATGTCGCAGCGTTCGTAAACTCACAAAATCTTGGCGAAACTCGTATCGATTGTGAACCAATAGTAATGTCACTTTCCAATTTGTTTAAAATCCATATCAGACTTAGGGTGAAATCACACGGTGCGGAAAAAGACTGCGGAATAGAGAATGTGTCATTGAAGCAACCAATCAGCGCTATTCCGATTAGCGCTGAATAGCGTTGATTGGTTGCTTCAGTGACGCATTCTCTATTCCGCAGTCTTTTTCCGCA